ATAGGCTCTTTCCATGTATGGCTCAGTTCGGAACCACAGAAGTGTAGGACTGGAAGGGACTTCAATAGGTCATCCAGTCCAGTCCCCTGCACTCAAGGCAGAAATATGTAATAACCAGACCATTCCTGACACGTTAGTTTAACCTATTCTTTAAAATCTTCAGTGAGATTCCACAACCTCCCTAGGCAACTTGTTTCAGTGCTTAACCACTCTGACAGTTAGGAAGTTTTTCCTAATGTCCAACCTAAACCTCCCTTGCTGCAATTTAAGCTCATTGCTTTTTGTCCTATCCTCAGAGGCCAAGTAGAATTTGTCATCCTCCTCCTTGTAACAAACTTATGTACTTGAAAACGTGTGTTCCCCTTCATTGTTCTCTTCTCTAGACTAAACAAACCCTTTTTTCAAATCTTTCCTCATAAGTCATGTTTTCTAGACCTTTAATCATTTTTGTGTTGTCCTATTGACTTTCTCTAGTTTGTTCACATGCAGGGCCGGCTCCAGGGTTTTGGCTGCCCCAAGCAGCCAAACAAACAAAAAAGCCGCGATTGCGATCTGCGGCGGCAATTCGGCGGGAGGTCCTTCGCTCCGAGCAGGAGTGAGGGACTGTCCGTCGAATTGCCGCCGAACAGCTGGACGTGCTGCCCCTCTCCGAAGTGACCGCCCCAAGCACCTGCTTGGTAAGCTCGTGCCTGGAGCCAGCCCTGTTCACATGTTTCCTGCAATGTGGCACCCAAAACTGCACTACAATACTCCAGTTGAGGCCTTATCAGCACAGAGTAGAGTGGAAGAATTACTTCTCCTGTCTTGCTTACTACACTCTTGCTAATACATCCCAGAATGAGGCTTGCTTTTTTGTGGAACAGCCTTAGACTGTTGTCTCATATTTAGCTTGTGATCCACTATAACCCCCAGATCCCTTTCTGCAGTATTCCTTCCTAGGCAGTCACTTCCCATTTTGTATGTGTGCAATTATTTGTCCCTTCCTAAGTGGAGTACTTTGCATTTGTCCTTATTGAATTTCATCCTATTTACTTCAGACCTTTTCTCCAATTTGTCCAGATCATTTTGAATTTTAATCCTGTCCTCCAAAGCATTTTCAACTAGAGCCCTGCTAATCTGCGGATATTTGCTTTGTATCCCCATCCATGGATGCGGATATCCACAGACCATTTTTGCGGATCACAGCTCGGATGCGGATACAAATTTTGTATCCGCACAGGGCTCTGCAACACACTCACCTGAATGGAGTGGCTGTTACCCAGCCTTCAGCTCGGCTCTCTGAATCAAGCAGCAGCAGCAGCTTGCTGGGCATTCTGGGAGTTCTAGTCCCCAGCTTGCTCAGATATGGGAGGTAAACTGCAACTCCCAGAAGGGAGCGTGATGCTGTGCTCCTATGCAGTGAGCATAACGCAGCAAGTGTTAGAACCACCGCAGCTGTGTAGGGGTGTCCGAGCCCCCCCATTGGGAGGGCGGTGCTGCACATGAGGACCCAGGATGTAGCCTCCACCCAGAGTGGGGAAGGAAGTACGACTGGGCAGAGCAGGGTGTGGGAGGTCTCTGGGGAGAAGTGGGAGGAGTTGGGGGTTTGACAGCTCTGCGTCACTGGTGCAAGGTGACCTGTGGAGCTGTTAGCAGATCCCTGCAAATCCATGGATAGCCGAAGACAATTTATGCAGATAGGATGCGGATACAACTTTTTGTATCCACACAGGGCTCTACTTGCAACCCCTCCCAGCGTGGTATCGTCCACAACATTTATAAGTGTGCTCTCTATGCTGAGGTAGTCAATAGGCAGACCCTGGGCCAAATCTGGTCTGCTAGACACTTTTGAACAGTCCCCAAAATCTTTTTATTTACTTATTATCATTGTTATTTTTATTATTTTCTTCTCTGGAGTCTGGACCTTGAGTATACATTGACCAAGAAATTGGGACCTTGACAAAAAAGAATTTCCTATGCCTGCACTCTATGCCATTATCTAAATCACTGATGAAGATATTGAACAGAACCGGACCCAGAACTAATCCCTGCGGGACCCCACTGAATATGCCCTTCCAGTTTGACTGTGAACCACTGATAACTACTCCCCAGCCAGGCATTCTGCGAAAGAGAAATGCAGGTCACAAGTTTCTGTAAATTCACGTTAGGATCTGGGTAGAGGCATCCATAGTTAAGTTCTCTGTCTGGATACGGTTGCAGGAGCAGCGTTGGCACTGGTGATGCCGCCCTTCCTAGCCATAGCTATTCTATTATGACTCCCACTTACAGATTCCCTCTGAAACTCCCGTTTGTTGTCCCTTGTTCGCTAGCTCTCCTTGGTCGCTTAGCCTCTAGCTTTTTAGCCCTTCTCTTCTAGGTCAGCCCTACCCCCGCTTTTCTGCATAGGCACCCTCTGAAAGAAACATTCTAGGAAAGATGATCATGAGAATTATTGCTGAATTAGAGGATGCAGCATGAGGGCTATGGATAGGGGAAGGAGGAATGGAAACTGCTTACCCCCTTCATTCTTTTACCCCCACCTTCCCATGGACTTCTGCTCTAACATTCTGATCAAAGGTTGTCTCTGCAGATGTCTTCATGTTCAACCAGGGGTGGGGCCTAGTGAGCAAGTGCAAGGAATTCCAAGTGGCATATTTGCAAATTTCATCTGATGATGCTTCCCATGTCCAGACCAACAGGTGGCCATGTCTCTAGTGTAGTGGCTCTAAGTCTTGGATATCCAACACAATTAATCTGGCCAGGGTGTATCCTGAACCGTGGAAGAGAATGAAAAAGGGAATCTTTTCTGCTCAATGTTTCTGATCCAAGAGCACCGCAAAGGTCCTTTTGAGATGGCAGGTGTTACGGGAAGGGAAAAACTTGAACAAGACTGGAGTAGAAGCTTGGATGGGGGAATATCATGGTTAGGAAATGAGTCAGACGTCAGGATTTTTTATAAAAACTAGGACAGAAGCCAAGCATCATGTTATTATAGGAAAGTCAATACCACAAGACTATAAGACCACTATATAAGAGATAAAAAGCAACTGAGGGTCCTGTGGCACCTTTAAGACTAAGTGAGGTTAAAGTGAGGTTCTTACCCACAAAAGCTTATACTCCCAATACTTCTGTTAGTCTTAAAGATGCCACAGGACCCTCTGTTGCTTTTTACAGATTCAGACTAACACGGCTACCCCTCTGATACTATATAAGAGATAGCTACTCAAGCCACCTCAGGGGGAGGAATAGACGATGTGTTAAGGAGAGACTCATACTAGGTATATCTACACTGCAGCTGGAAGCTAGCCTTGTTTGTGCAATCACACTAAAAAATCGCAGCAGGGATTTTGGGACTTGGGGTGGAGCTTTGGCTCTCAAGCCTAGGGGTCAGGAGGGGTGAAAGCCTAAGTTGTAAGGGCCAGACGGCTTTTTAGTGTCATAGCTTGACCCCCTCTGGCGTGAGTCTGTCTACCTGTGCTGGGAGACTCGCTCCCAGAGATTTATACAAGCCACGTTCTGACTCCTTTTGAGGCACTTTGGAACTCAGGACAGAGTTTCAGATAACGCGACACTGGGGAGAGGATCCCACCTTGTCTCACCCCTCTACTGGGCAAGCAAGGGCTCTAGTGCAGAGATTAGGCTCTTGATGAAAGCCAGCTGCTGGAAGTTTAAGAAAGCTGAGATTCTGGTGCATCTGAAAGAATCTCTATGCCCTATATGAAGGGAATGGTCCACAGTCCAAAACAAAAGTATTTCTCTTTCAAGGGGTTAGCATGGTCAAGACCACCTTACTGGAGATTCCAGACTCCTTCAGGAGCACACTGCCACAAACCACGTTAAAGGATTTTGGCCTGGTCTACACAGATTTTGTACAGGTATAACTACATTGGTATGGGGTGCGATTTTGTAATGAAATAGTTGGCAGTACAATCACTAGTATGGATGCAGGTGCCTTATACGGGTAGTGCTTAATCCCCTTCCTGTACGTCTGTGATAGTTAAATTGGTACAACTTGTGTGTTTAGACAAGGGCACCTGGGTCAGGAGGACATTACTTGAACCCACGGTCCTGACCCATTGGGGAGCATAGCTTGTGTACCAAGGCCCTTCGGTTATTCTAGGACAACTAGGATTTGAAGCAGATGCCTCTTTACTACTTTTTGTGGGCAGAGGCGGCTGGTTTTGTCTTCCAGAGACCACCTCAACAGTTGTTTGTCCCTCTGGGTGAGACTCTCTTCCCCTTTAGGGAAGCTAGGCAGCTAGTTGTCTGTCACAGCCCCAGAAACAGTTACGCTGCTGTCACACATCACTGAGATTGTGGAGGTTTCCTCTCCGAGATTAAGCAGAGACTTTCATCATGCTTTTGATTAGGTCTTGTAAATACAGCACTCCTTTTATACAGCATGCTCATCAATAGGCCTCTGTGCTGGTCACAGATTCCGTGACTACTGCAGCGGCCAGTGTGGCTAACCCCAGGGCTGCCAAAGCAGCTGGCCCTGGCCAATAGCCCCCAGCCAACTGGCTGGAGCAGCCACAGGCCATGGCCCCTGGCAGCTGGTGCTGCAGGCCCCGGCAGCTGCCCCTGGCCGGCTGGAGCAGCCACAGGCTGTGGCCCCTGGCCAGCTGGTGCCACTGGCCTCCGGATGTGCCTCCCCCAGCAGTACCACCCCGCCTTCCACATGCAGCGCCCTGGATTTACCTGCCCCCCCCCATAAGATTTAATCACAGGTATTTTTAGTATAAGTCATGGACAGGTCACAGACCGTGAATTTTTGTTTATTGCCTGTGACCTGTCCATGGCTTAATCATGGCATCACTCATCAATACACATTAGAAACTATATTCAAATACTTTCAGTTCACCAAAACTAAGGCTTTTAGTATTTCTTTAGTCATTAAATCTTTATTTTCCCTAAAATATTCAACAAGCCTCAGGGAGGGCTTCCCGCCTTTTTTCCCCCAAAAGGTATAGAAGATCATTCAATATTAAAATGGAACAAATGCATACAAGACATTTCAATACCTCAAGCCCAGATCCAAGGTTTGGTGAATCCAGTGGTCTTTTTTTCCTTGGCCCAATCGCTGCCAAAGCTGTGAGATTGGCTTCTCTTTGTTGCATCTGTGCCAGCTCCAACTGTTGCATCTAATTTAAAAAAGAAAAGTATATGATATATGGTATACTGAAGGGCCAAATTTGTTCATTCAGCTTCAACCACTTGATCTTTTACATAGCTTATAAAATCTGCATCATGACATGAGAATATGACTTTTCAGAAATTACAATTCCAGTAATTAGGCCCATTGCCACACTATTCATTTTAGGAGCCCAGCAAATGCTAACCCCCACTACATATGCCATGGCATTGTCCTTAGGTTCAAGTGTTTTGAGAAGACAGCACCTAGGATCAACAATACCACCTGAGATATCCCTACTGATCTCAAATTCAGTGAATTTTGCTATTTATTGATTAGTGAGACAAGAAAAGTTTTGGCTCAAAACCAGTTTAAATGGCCAAAAATTAACATTTTGAGAGTTGAAGGTTCTCGATATTGAGAACGGGTCACACTGTACTCAGTTTCACAGGTTGTTTCCAATTCAGGTGACCAGATGTCCCGATTTTATAGGGATAGTCCCGATATTCAGGGCTTTTTCTCATATAGGCGCCTATTACCCTCCATTCTCTGTCCTGATTTTTCACACTTGCTATCTGGTCACCTTATTTCCATTTGAGCAAGCAAGAGAAATTCCAAAACATGATGTGTATTTGACAGCATTCATTTTGACTTCAATTATCTGAAGCTTAATTTTGTGAACCAAGGCCTTGTGCCCTGACACTACTCTGAATGTCATGGAGACCGAATACGTGGATCACAGGAATTTTCAGGTGACTGAGGTTTAATAGCATGCAGGTAGCACTTCAATTCTCTCATTAGTTAACTTTTTTCAAAATGTTAGGCTTTTTTTTTTTAAATTTGTATTTGAGATGTTTAACACTCCAGATACTTATTTTCAGTTGTTCATGAAGAAAGGAATTCCCTCAAAATAAGTCAAAACTTAAGAGAACAGATTCCATGATTAGCTGGTTGGATTAGTTTAGTCAAAATGATGACTAACAAGCTTTTTAAATACACTATCATGCTACCACTAAAAATCACCAGCAGTTTCTAAAAATAAAACTAAGAAAATTTCATATAGCAAGGCAAGTACTGCTGCTTCCCAAGTGTGTTGAAATATTCTTATGTTATCTATAGGATGGTGGAATAACTCAAGAAAACAGAGGGGGAGTCCACAAAGTATCCCCCCCTTCATCCTCCGGCGAAGGAATACCATTTATAGCAAAAAGGCAAAGCAGAAAGGAAATTATTCTCCAACTCAGGGTTCAAAAGGTTCCCTGACTGTGAAGCCCATGCATTTGATTTTCTAGTCATGCATCAGCTACAGTTTTTTATATTAAAATGGCAACACTTCCTTTCAAAGGTTAAGAAATTCTCAGCCAAAGGTGAATTCCTTACAGAGTTTTTGACTGCTCAGTTCAACCACTGCATACAAGGGAAGAAGCTATACTTTTCCTCATCTCACAAAATTTCACTGGAACTTTTTGCAGTCTGCTCACATTTTGCTGTTTAACTACAAAAAGCATTTATTGAGCTTGCAGCGCAGTTGAACACTTTTACTTTCCCCCACTTCTTTACCTTTAATATTCTGTTAAAAAGAAGGGAGCTCCCTAAAATAGGAACTTAGTATGCCAGCAAAAACTCTGACATCTGAATTTGTAACCAAATTCTACTCTTATTGGTAATTTGTACCTTTTCAAGTAGGACTAAAATGATCTGCAACAAAATAAAAAGGAAATATTACTCACCCTGTGCAGTAACTGTAGTTCCAGCTATGCTCCCTCAGGGGTATGCCATTTCAAGGGCTCAAGAGGTGCAAGTGATCAGAGATTTCTAGCTAGCAGTACCCGTTTGACCTGCACATGCACCTTATGCCTCTTCGTGGCAGACACTGAGGCTATAGTGGGGGTACACAGACAAACTGCCCTCATTTCCTTCTCTACTCACTCATTCCCTAAGGAACATCTGAAGCAGAAAGGAAGAAGGTGGGTAGTGGAGCACTCATAGGAACACACATCTTATAGCACTACAGTTGCTGCACAAGGTAGGTAACATTTCCTCATTTCCTTCATCTTTGAATAGTGTCCCTATGGGGTGCTCCACTTCAGGTGACTTCTGAGCAGTATCCAAAAGAGAAGGGAGCTTCGGATCAGGGTCCAGAATTGAAGACAATACTGCAGAGCCAAGTGCTGCAGCAGATCCGACGGAATGACGCAGGGCATAATGCTTTGAAAACAAACGGCCTGAAGTCCACGTAGTGGCGCTATATATCTCCGATATGGGAACATCCTTCAAAAAGGCTGTAGATGTTGCTTGCAATCTGGCTGAATGCGCTTTCACATCTGGGGAGGTGGCGGGGGAAAGGAGGGCTGAGCACCCACAGACTCATAACAGGTAGGGATACTTTCAAAATGGATATCAGGTGGTCTCTGAGCAGAAATAGGAACCCCTTTGATCTATCTGTGAAAAGTATGAAGTGCAGATGATTTCCTAAATCACTTAGTCCTATCCAGATAGAAGGGCCTTTGACTTTCTAATACCCAGGTTATGGAAACAGGATTCCAGCTGAAAACTATTAGGTTCTGGAAAAACATACTGGTAGATACCTTAGATTTTCATCTTGCTCCTCCTTGTTGATTTAAAAACATGCAGGACATGATGTCCCATATGACCCTAATCGTTCTGTCCTGATGAAGGGCAGGAAACGGAGGCAAGTATTCCCAATGGCCTTGTGTGCCAAAAGGTTGATCTGGAGACAGCTTTCATGGACTGTCCATCTGCCCTGAACCCGGGGGTGTCAAAGAGGACTCCCTACCCTAACAGAGTTGGGGTGGGTTGGCAGAAAAGGATGCTTGCACAGACATGGAGTTGCTCCTTCCACCAGTTTAGGGAGTTATTCACGTGCAAGGGGACCTTCACCCACCTATCCAAAGTGTGTCTGGTCAGAGAATAGGCAGCTCTGAACCAACCTTGGAAGCAGTGGAAGCGTAGCCTTACATGATGGGTCAAAGATGCACACTATCATATGGCCAAGGAGTTGAAGACAGTTGCTTATTGAGGTCCAAAGGCTGCCCTGAATTGTTTCTATCATTCTTGACAGGGTCACAAACCTGTCTAAAGGGAGATGCGCTCTGGCTGTCACTGAGTCCACGTACGCCCCTATAAACTTTATCCTTTGCACCAATACTAACATGGATTTCTTTTCATTCAGCTGTAGGACCAACTCTTGGAACACACCATAGGCCCTCTGGGTGGATGATAACACTGCCCCGAAAGAGCACCCTTTGAGCAGCCAGTTGTCAAGGTATGGGAAGACAAGAATCTCTTCCTGTCAAAGGAAAGTCGTCAACTACTCCTAGAACTTTCGAAAACACCTTTGGGGCTGAAGAGAACCACTCGCTACTGGAAGTAATCTTGGTCTACAGTGAATCATAGGTATTTCCTGTGCGATAGGAAATGGTTATATATTTTATGGAAGTAGGCACTGTGTAGGTCAAGGGATGAAAACCGACCCCCTTCCCGTGGCAAAGGAATTATAGTTGCTACAGTCACCATCTAAACTTTTGACATTTCACCAACTTGTTCAGCCGTCTTAGATCTAAGGTCAGTCTCCAATCTTCATCCTCCTTTGGTACTAGGAAGAGAAGAACTACCAGCCCCTGTAAGGGGAAGGGACAGATTGTATTGCTCCTAGCTGGAGAAGAGAGTACTAAGGCAAGAGGGGGAGACGCTCATGTGGGGGTCCCTGATGAGGAACAGGGCAGGGGGGTGGAAACAAAGGAGTGCCAAAAAACTGGATGGTGTAGCCCAGTGTTATGACCTCCAAGACCCACTGGATCATAGTGATCCATTCCCAAGCCCGAAGAAATGAACAAGGTTGTCCCCAAAGGGAAGGTGGGGGCTAACGGACGGAACTGCAAAAATCAGAGGGGTGGAAGGATTTGAACCCGCAGCCAACCCATCAAAACTGCTGTTTAGATGATGCCTGGGTGGTCATGGAGCGTGATTGGGCCGCCTTCTTCCTCTGAAACCTGTCTCTTTGGGCAGGTTTTCCCCATGGGTTTGCGATACCCCCAAGAACTGAACGGCATCTGACCTCTGGGCAGTCTGACCTACTGAAACATTTCCTACTTATAGGTGTGTGGATGCCCAGGGAACATAGGGCAGCCCTGCAGTCCTTCAGCATATGCAGGGAATCATTCATTGTCTCAGAGAAAAGCTTACAACCAAAGGGGTTGTACAACCCTCTATAGGGTTCTGAACCTCTCTCAGAAACCCTGAAAGTTGGAGCCAAAACACCCTGCACATAACTACCACTGTGGAGAGAGATCTGGCAGCAATGTCCACAGCATCTAGGGATGCTTGGAGAGCTGTTCAGGCCAATAGCTGAGCCTCCACAACAATGGGCCAGAACTGCTCCCTGCAGTCATGTGGCAGCTGTTCAATAAAGGCCATGAGCTTGTTGTAATTAGTCAAGTTGTATTTGGCCATGATTGCCTGACAGTTCAGACAATCCAGAACTGCATGGTCACAGACAATAAGACGTTTCAAAAAGACCCAGTTGCTTTTGGTGTTTGTCATGGGGGTAGGTCTCAAAATGTGGCTTACACCGTTCGTTCACTGCATCCACCACTAGGGAGTTAGGTGGGGATGAGAAAATAAATAGTCAGAATCCTTAGAAGGCACATAGTACTTCTTATCCACCCTTTTTCACGTTGGTCACTGTCGGAAGACAGGATACTGGGCTAGATGGAGTTTTGGTCTGACCCAGTACGGCCGTTCTTATGTTCTTAGGGGCCAGCATCTGCCATACCATCTTAGCCAGATCCAGCAGAGCCTCATTAATAGGTAGCACCCCTCTGGAAGGTGTTGCCAACTACAAAACACCCAGCAGCTTGTGCTGCTGATCTCTGACCTCCTCCAGAGGGATCTGCAGAGCACCAGCTACCCTTCTAATGAGATCCTGGAACAGTATGACGTTGTTGGCGGTGGAAAGTGGGGGAGGCACAACAGCCTCATCCAGCAACGACGACGAAATTGCGGTCTCAGGGGTGACTTCCTCTTCTGCCCTAGCCTCCTGCTCCTCAAATGTCTCCTTCTGTCATGCAAGGGTAGAGAGAGGATGGGAAACCCTGGCCTCCCTGAGGGACAGTACCAGTAGTCTGTTGAATTGTTGCCAATAAGCAGCCCACGGGTCTCAATATGACCATGGGGGGGGAGGGGATTGGGGGTGGCGTACAAGGTTGGTTCCACCATCCTTGGTGAGCTGCAAAGTCCTCCCTGAGTGAGGGTGCGTTCCTGAAGAGGTATGTAGAACGACACACCCCCCCCCCCG